TTAGTTCAGAGTTCGTAATTAGCATTCGAAAATTAAAAATAAAAATTCCGTTTCCAATGAAGTTTCTCAATGAAGTTTCGAGAATTCCGTTAGAAACCAAAAAATCGAATTTTCTGCTGGAACTAGGTCTATTAACTAAAATATGTTTCATTAATACATATTCCATATGAAATTGAAACTGCCAAATTTTCATCTTGAAAAAATTTTTGTCAAAAAATTTTCTGAAAACTCGAAATTCTTGTCTTACACAGTATTCCAGTGTTTGAAAAAAAAATTATTTCCTTAATGTTCTGACCGTAAACCACTAGAGATGTTTGACGAAAAAACCTTCTTTCATATTTCGCAATCTCCTATCTTTTATTTTTTCCCTTTCCAGAAATAACCATCTAGAACCTTCTATTTTCCCTCCTGGCCATCATCAAAAGAACCTTCATCGCATCGTTTGTAATTCATTAAAAAAAAAGAACCTCGGTCAATTTTCAGTCAATTCTCTCCTCCTCTTCTTGTTTTCTTTGACGTCAATAACCAGTTTTCTTCTCTTTTCTTCTTTTTCTCCGGTAAAAGTGTTCAAAGAGAGTCTGGTGCATGAACATGCAAATAAATGAACATGGCGAGAGAGTGTGTGAGACGAAGAGACGCAGACGCGCTACTGGTCGCTGAAGAAAACGCCTACATTAAATGAGAATAAATCACGAGATAGGGAATATGAATGATTCATGGAAAAAGTTTCAATTTCAGTTCTGTTATAGACAGGTTTAGGGGGGGGGGGGGGGGTCAAATGATCCTATTTTTAGTAACAAATATTTACTTAATCCCCTGTTCCAATCTTTGAGACCTTGTTTTCAGTTTTTCTTCGTTTTTATTTCTCTGGAAACAACAATAGCTCGTTTTTTGAGTATTTCTTTTGGACGAATCTTTACAAAATCTAAAATTTTCGAAGCTTCCAGTTTTTGTCTCTTTTAATTTTTTAAGTAACTTCTGGGGTATACATATTTTCCTTGTTTCATCAACTTTTGAAATTCAAATCGTATAAAAACATTCCGTTAATCGCTGTCTTTTTGATGTCCAAATTTTTTGTTTCAACATTAGTTTTCCAATCTTTCAATTTTCTCACTTCCAGGTACTGTAAGAGCTGCAAAAATATACGTCAACTTGGACGTAATTCATCTGAATTCCTGTAAAAGATAACAAAAATTGGTCAACTAATAAAATGCTTGTCATAATATCACCAACGTGATACCAAATGACATATTTTAGATATATACTAAAGTAATCGAGGTAATTGAGCTCAAAGTGCAAGTAAAGTGCAAGGGCGACCTTCTATTAGAGTGTTTAGGTATTTTCTTCTTCATATTTTTTCTGTTTTCTCACTATTTTGAATTCAAATCGTTTACAAACACTTAGTTTCACGAGTGAGTATCTGAAATGTTTAGCTTTCAAGTCCCCAAATTTTTGAAAACTTTCTGACAACTCCAGTTACCGTAAGATCTGCAAAAAAGGCGTCAACTTTGACTAAGTTTATCTCGATTCCTATGAGAGATATCAAAAAAATGGTTAACTGATAAAACATTCAAATTTTCGGGTTGCCAGTTAACGAATTCCTGATATCTCTTATAGAAATCGAGATACTTGAGCTCCAAGTGCAAGTATTGGGTGGCCTTGTATTAGAGTGTTTAGGGTTTTTTTTTAGTTTTTTTTTCTTTCATAGTTTTTTTCATAGTTTTCTTTCATAGTTTTCATAGTTTTCACAGTTTTTTTTTCTGTTTTTAAAACTTTTGAAATTCCAATCGTTTATCAGGATTCCATTGAAAGAAATATCTCGGTTTTCTGAATTTTTTGTGTCCAATTTAGTTTTAAAACTCTGTTATTCATTTGTGGAAACCTTAAGACCTGTAATAAAAGGCGTCAACTGTGACTAAATTCATCTCGAATCCTATAAGAAATGCTGAAAGTTGGCAGTGTTCTATGGCAAGTCTAACGATACTGCCAAATCCAACCTACTTTTCAGTGTTATCTTTTCTGTTCCAAATACTACAAAAATAGTAAAGATGGTCCAGACCATTACCGTGTTTTTCTCTAGTCCGATATCCAAATTTTCACTATTTTCGAAAATTCTCCGTTTTATAATTTCTTCAATTTCTAATCAATTTTCGATATTCCCTTTACGTATCTTTTAACATAACAATTTATAAATTTAAGGTTTCTCCAAACTTTCGATTCCTCCTCATATGAATTTCTGACCAATATTTATTTGCAGATGCTTCACTTCTTCTTCCTTCCAATCCATCTTCCCACCATTTTCATTCCTTGCCCCGTTCAAAAAGGGTAAACATCGTAAATTCTAGAGAAATTCCATTCCCCATTTTCCATGCTTTTCTTCCTCTTTCCTATATAATTCATATAGATTTCGGCCTATTTTCAGTTGACTATTCACATGGGGAAATGGTTTTTTCTGGAGATTTTTTTCAATTGCTCTAAAAATGATTTAAAAGGGATTTTTGATGTTTTCTCATTTTTCTTGAAAAATGAAACGGAAATCGGGGGAGAGAGAAGAAGAAAAGAGGAAACTAGAAGAAGCCGTCAAACATCAAAAAACGGATTCTTCTAGGATTTTCAAAAAGCTGAAAATAGAAACTTCAGTGAAAACTTTTTTAAATGTTTTGAAATTCCCATATTTCAATCTAATATCTTGCCTGGACAGTCACAATAAGGAATTCTCTTTTCTGAATATTTTTTCGAAAATCGAAATTGTTTGATTTGAAAAAAAAACTTTTGCATTTAAGTAATTACGGTTTCATCAACTTTTTAATTTTGATTTTCCACTTGAATTTCAGTTTTCTCCCGTGCCTCAAAGCTCTAGTAGAATTCTTCCAAACAGTCAACTTTGAGTCCATATATCTCATTTCTTGTGAACGATATCGAAAAGTTGTCAACTCATAAAACGTTTATCTTAATAGCTACAATATTGTATCAGTTTACAAAATGTTGATATCTTTCACAGAAATCGAGACAATTTGGCTCAAGTTGAAAGTTAAGGGGTTCATTCTATTAGTGGGTTTACGGTATGTTTTCGTTAAGTTTCCGTGTAGTTTCTCAAAAAAAAATATAGCAGAATCTCAAAAATTTCAAAAAAATTGGTTTCTAAAAAATTTCAATGTTACTGTTATACCGTATTCCTTCTAATAGAACGGCACCTATGCATGCACTTTTAGTTCGATTATCTAGATTTCTATAAGAGGTATCAGCAATTTGTTAACTGATAAAATGTTTATCAGAACAACTCCAACATTTTTCTAGTTTACAGATTTTTGATATTTCTTACAGAAATTGAGATAATTCAGTGCGGCTGAAACAATACAAGAACCAAAAAAAAAGCAAAAAAGTTATAATTACAAAGTTTAAGAAACAGTAACTTTTGGTTTAAAAAATTACAGGATTTTGTCAAATTCACCAAAACTGATTTGAAAATTTTCAAGTTCCGACCGAAACTAAACTGTTTTGAAGTGTTCCAAAAATCTAAAATCCAATTTCTAGAAGTTCCTGAAAAACTATTTTCAATAATTTCAACAATCGCTGTTTCACAATCTTTTCAATTTTTGATTGTTTTTAATCTTTTATTCAACTTCATTCCTTTTCATTCTCCAACAAAATATCAATTTTCAAATCTAATCAGTTATTCCGTCTTCTCCTCATCCATCTCAACCTACTTTTTCTTCATTTTTTTTTCATCTAATTCACTCATTTTTTCCACGCCCTTCTTCTTCATTTTCATCTCATTTTGCTCCTTCCGCTCCACTGATTCCTTCTATTCCTCTCTTCTTCATTTTTATTTCCTACCCCATCCTTTTTTATTCCCCCACTGTTTTCCATTTTCTCGAGAGTAGTGTCTTGACCTTGATTAAACGAATTAGCTGAGAGTGAATTCAAGAATCTTGAAAGCGTTTTTGTGTTTTTCGTTTTATCCGGATGAGAATGAAAGGATGAGTGGAATGGAGAAAGTTCTCACTGGCAACGCCCCGCCGTTTTTTTTTGCATTTCTCTAGACTCTCTTTTTATTATGCACTATTTCCTATCGGCTCTTCTTTTCGCGAAACGTCATTTTAGCTCCAAGTTTTGAAGATTTGAAACAATTTCAGTTTCAAAAAGTTGTTAACATAAATTTTTATCTTGATGTTTCGATTGTTCCAGTTTTCTCATATTTCTCAACACATCCACCGAAATCCACTTTCTCAAATATCTGTAATAGAAGGGCATCCTAACTGTCACATTGAACCAACTCATCTCTGTTTTCCAGGATTTAAAAAATGCCAAGATAAAACATATTATTGCAGTTTCAAAAATTGTTGATGTGAATTTATAAATCTTCAATTATTCCTTTTATTGATTCGCATAACATAGTTTTTTTCTCTTTTTTCACATCATCTGTTTTTTCGTAAAATCTTTAATAGAATGGCCCCTTAACATTGGCCCAATTTATCTCGGTTCCTTAGAAATATTTCAAAAAGTGGTCAATTGACAAAATACTTTTGATGTTATGAAAAAATTTTGCCAGTTGATTATTTTTTGATATCTTTTACAGGAAACGAGATAAATTTGGTCAAAGTTGAGAGGATTTTCTAATACAGCGTATTCCGTATTCCTATCAACGCAAAACATCATTTTCTAAGTTTATTAAAAAATTTACAGCTTCAAGAAGTTGTTAACACAAATTTGTATAAGTCAATTTAATAGTTGTTACGGTCTATTTAAAATCTAGTTTCTTTCATATTTCTCAATATCTCCGTCGAAATTCACTTTCAAAGCATTTTTCCTAACATGAGCAATGACATGTTAGTTGACTATTTTTCGCTATATTTCGAAGGAAAAGATATAAATTAGATCAAATTTAAAGGACTCACATTTTACAGGCTTTACGATATCTTCTCGTTTCTCTCTTCTCATTCAGTTGTTGCTCTCCTAATATTCTGATTATTTCCAGAAATTTCTTCCATCAATCTTCTATGTCGGTGATATTCCACGAGAATCCGGGTACAAGTCTCGGTTCTGTGGTTTCATCCGACACCAATCCATCATTCAACCATACTCTTTCGATTGAAACGAGTCCCGAATGGATCGACGATTTGTTTTCCAATGTTTCATTTATCGATTCGACGACACATCAAGTGATTCGAGGATTTTGTAGAGACGTTTTTGTGTACAGGTTACCCGGAGGCTTTCGGTGAGTTTGCAGGAACATATGTATTTTTAAATGCGTTATGAAACACCAAAGGTTTCTCTATGATCATAGAGAAACAGTGAAAATTGTTTCCAAACTTCAACTTTGAAGATTTTGTAGTGGACTCGATTTAAAATTTTTAAAATTTTTACGTTTCATAGGGTTTACATAAGTGATAGAAAACTACAAAAGTTTACTATTTGCAAATTCGCAGATCTTCCAAAAACGGGCTGTTTTGATCGTCCATTAAAAATGCAAGCTCATAGCAACGATTTCATCTTAATTCTGTAACAGAACAAATTTCCAGAATCCGCTACTGGGACGCTGCCATCCTAATACCCAACCTACTCTTTCTTCTATTCCTATTCCTAAAATGTACCAGTGTAATTCGAAAACTTCAAACTGGCAACTCTCCAGTTTTACGAGCATTCACACTTCTTGTCTACGTTTCCACACTGGTAAACATCATTCGATGTGTCTACAGTATGACGCTTTCAATGACAGATGGCATCGAACAAACTGTTGATCAAACTTTATGGATTATTATCAAATTCTTCTATCTAACCGCCGAATTCTGTGCATTGACATTTGGCCTGTTATTTGGTCATTTGGATAATGGAAGGTCGATTTTGATCGCGTTGCTTGGAACGCTATTGGTGTCAATTCCACATACAGCTGTACAAGTTATAGTGGAGATGAAGATAATCGATAATGTGAGTTTTTTTTGGAAAAAAATTTAATGTTGCATTTTCAGTCCTGGCTCCCATTGACCTACTTCGATATCGAATCCGATGGTGGCTTCGTTTTCTGGGTATTATCTTCTGCAACTCTGGCTCTTGTCTATTTTTTCATAATGTGTCTACCATTGGTTTGCTGTCAAAAGTATACAAAACTCCCTAGCAATGGATCATTTTTCATTTACTGCATGATGATGGTCACATTGAATATTCTTCAATCCATGGGAGCCGCCTTAATCCTTTTCAAGTCTTCGGATGGCTTATGGTAAGGAGTCTAGACGGTGATTTTGAGACTTACGAAAATCCTTAATTCCAGCTTCGTTGGAGTCTCCACATATGTCTACTTTGTCCTCTATCCACCGATCATTTATTTCACATTCCTGAGGAGAAAGTTGAAGTAAGTTATTTGAAAAAATAATATGTAAAATTTTGGAACATTTCAGAACTCCTCCAAACAACACATCTGGACTATTCATGTATCGGAAGCATAAAGATGAGCAAGGATCTGGAGACCTACCGGATTCTTATTATCCACGATTCTCCGGATTGACGTCTCCGAGTTATGATGATTTGTTTGATTACGATCGGGATGCTAGATTCACGCATTACGACATTTCGACGAATGAATATGTTCAGGTGAGAGAAGGACTTCTGTTTAAAAAATGTTAATGTTAGGTTTGGGAGACATCAGTCGAAAATGGGGGAATATTGGCGAGCTATAAAGGTTTTTGTTCAGTGGAGCGCGGTTGCGTGGCGCCAACATTTCTTGAACTTCCGTAATTCAACGATTTTCTCGAAAAAAGCACTGAAGACTTCAAACTAATCATAACTGTTTCAAGCTAATCATAAAAGGATAGAATCTTGAAACAATTGATACGTAGTCTTTTTTTCGGCTAAAATTTTCAAAAAATTGTTTTGGAGCCTTGCAATCGCGCTCCGCTAGACAAGAACCCCCTGCAGTTCGAAATTTTGGTTTCTTGGGAGGAAATAAAGCAAAAAGTCTTTTCGGGGCTTTACTTACAGCTTACCAAATCTTGAGAACCATTCTCAAATTTACGGAAAACCAAAAAAAATCGCTGTTACTTCATAACTCCAACAGACCCCCTCAATCTGTAGTTGGAGTATCTCCTTTTTTCAGCACCCTCACTACAACACCTACTCCACACCATTGATCATGTCGACTGTGGAAACTGCGGAATCTACAGTAACCACGCGAACCGGATCTGATGACTTCGCTCACCACCGCGACTCAATGCTCTCTGAACCATCCACTGGCACCACAACTCGCCATTTGAAAGGTCTTGGACCACAAGGATCTCTGGTTTTCGAAGAGGATCCATCAAGTCTGAGATTGTAAACAAACTACTATAATATCACATTTTATATCTTGATTTCCTTTTTCCTATGAAACTCATTTTCTACAAATTTCGAATGTTTCTCCCATCAATCCCTCTCCCTCCAAATCCATCATCCGGTCATCTCTTTTCTCACTTTTGGGTCTCGCCGCGAATGTTTTTTTTTCACTGCTTCCAAGGTCGCTATTTGCTCTTTTTTGCCTTCAAAAACTCCTTATCTTGGATCATATTGACCCTCTCCTATTTTTGACCGGTTTTCTTCCCCTCCAAACCTGTATTTGTACACTTGAGAATAATAATAGAAAAAGAAGACATCCATCTGTCTCACTTGATTACTTGTATGCCACTTTCCATAGCTTTTTTAAAAATCTCTATTTATCAAAAATAGAGTCAATGTTGAAATTTATATGTGCGGTTTTGCGAACTTCTCGAATAAACTACAATTGTTGTTATGAACTATTCGTATCAATGTAAATAATAATGCTACTTTGAAGTTTTCGGTTTTGAAGCTTCCAGTCCTGAAACGCCAATATACTAAAATGCCGAGTTTCTGACACATTTCGGTTCCGGTTTCAAAACGTCTCGTTTCAGTGTCTGGATAGGAAATGTCAGATTCGGTTTTTTTACACAATAACCGTTTCCGAATCTCTGATTCCGAAATTTCAGTATTCTGATTATGAAATGTCCGTTTCAAATAACTTATTCTGAGAAAAAAAAACTTTTCGAAATGGTTGGTGCAGCCTCCGAATCAGTTATAAAACGCCCACACTCTAAAAAGTCGACTCTTCAATTTTTTGGTCCTGATATGGCCGGTTCTGAAACTGTATTGTTTCAAAACTGACGGATTAGGACGTTTGTTTCTGTACCAATATTGTTGCTCTTTTTCATTCTGAAGTATTCTGTTTCGAAATTTAGTTTTCAAATGGTTCCAATCTGAAAATTCAAATTCGAAAACGTTCAGTAATGGAATTTCAGGTTTCAAATAGCATTTTTTAAAAAGAATATCAGGCACTCAAGATTTCAGTACTACAAATAAAAAATAAAAACCTTTGGTTCTGAAGCTTCCCATGTCAGAATATCTGGTTCTGAAATGTCAATTTTCTGAAGTTTGCTTTTTAAACTTCAGAATAACATGTTTCAATAATTCAGGTTCTGAAGCTATTAGTTTCAAAATATCCCGTTCGAAAACGTCCAAATTTATCAATATCGAGTTCTTGGTTTTCCGTTTCAGAGACGTCAACAGATGTCATTTCAAGTTTTCGGATTCCGAATTATTCAGGTCTGATGAATCAGGTTTTAAAAATATTCGAAATGTCAAGGTTTTCGACATTCAGGTACTGAAATGTCCGTTTCAAATATTTTATTTTCAGAATACATGTTTTGGGATCTTTGGTATCAAAGCTTTTTGACTTTTTGAAACGACCACATATTAAAATGCTGATTTTTTGACTTTCTTGTTCTGAAACTATCCTGTTTTAAAATTAACAGATTAGAACGTTTGTTTCTCAAGTCCTGGAATGCCGAATTGCGTAAAAACAACACTTCGAAGTAAAAATCTCTTATTCTGAAGATTCCCGTATGGAATACCTGGTTCTGAAATGTCAATCTTCCAAAGTTTAGAGTTTTTATAAATTCGGTTCCGAATTTCAGATTTCAAATCGTTTTTTTTCAGAATAACCGGCTTCAGTTTGAATTGTTCGGTTCCAAAATTTCCGGTTTCAGAAAGTTTTTATTGGCTTGAGAATTGTTAAATTTTCAATTTTCTGTATATATATATTACAGTATTCGAATGATTCAATTCTAAAAATTCAGTTCCGGATCTGGAATGTCTGTTCCAAATTGCCTATTTTCTGAATAATAAGTCCTAAAGATTCCAGCCACGTCAAGTTTTAAGCTTTCAGTAATCAGTAATAACACTTTACAATATCTGGTTCCGAAACTTCCTCTTTTGGAATATTTGGTTTTAAAATGTCGGCTCTTTGAAGTTGTCGAGTTTTTGATCACCTGTTGCAGGATAGTCAAAAGATTTCATTTCGAGTTATTCAGTTCTGATAAGTTTTAAAGCGTTCGAAATGTTCAAGTTTTATGAGCTCCTAACATTGCGGTTTCAAATCGTTTATTTTGGTACTGTAGCTTTCGTACATGGATTAAGAATTGCTTTTTTTTAAATCTAAAATGCAGCCTTTTTGATTTTCTTTCTCTAATATGGCCATTTCCGAAAACGCCCTGTTTCAAAATGAACGGATTAGGACGTTTGTTTTTATCAATATTGTGGTTGTCGCAATTTGTTGTTTGATTCTGAAATATTCGGTTTCAAAACATCCGTGTCTAACTCATTGCTTTTAATGTCGATAGAATATGCCCGATTATAAGCCTGATTAAAACAGGAGCAATTATAAAAATACAACATGAAAAAACACTTCTCCGAAGTGGGATTAGGTGGAAGAGAAAGATTAGTCTTCCGGCCGATTTTTTCCTGAAATCGTTGGATTAAAAAAAATAATTTTTGCAGAAATGTCGGGAAAGAATGGTTCATAAGAATAATATTTAAGAAGAATAAATTTGCAATAAAAAATCTAGCATAAACCACTTTCAATTAAAAAACTATAAAACACTTTATTTTATTCCAACTTTTTTTCCTTTTTGCATGAATTATACCCTACAGAAACAATCGTGACAGTTTTCTATCTCTCTTTCTCGAAACCGTGTGCTCTGGTTTCACTGAACTAACCCTGTTCTGTCCCTTTTCTTCTTTTATTCAAGTCAATAAAAAATATTGATTAGTTCTACTCTTTGCAATGACAGGTATGAATCAAGCTACCTAAAATACCAAGGTTTTTATTCATATACCATCATTTCAGGATCATGGCGATTGGATATCATAATTATGGTTCTATACCAAATTACACTGATTTTCTCAGCTCAATTACTTTTCGTCATTTTCCTCGACTACATGCCACAAACTTATTGTACAGATGGTATTTTTCATGGTATTTTATCTCTGAAAATTCCAAAAATTTCAGACAACTTTTGTTATAAACTCCAAAGTAAATGTTTGACGGATTACGATGCAAATGAGCCGAATTTGTGTCCGGTGAACATGACAGGATCCAGAGTACGTTCAAAAATTTTAGAATTTTATAAAGAGAGTTTTTACAGAGGGATTGTATAGTGGAACACAAAACGTTGTACTTCTACAGTGCCCAATTTGAATATCAACAGAATTGTGGGGCATTTTATAAAGTGTAGGTTCTCAGACTCAATGTTTCATTGAAATGACTTAAAACAAAGAAATATTATAGAGGTGGAACTGAAATAATTTGAAAAATAAAGCACCCATGTTGGAAATTTTCGGATTACTAGACTAAAACTAGAGCTTTAATTTTATGGTTCACAACATTTTGGTACAAATTCACCCAAATAAGATATACCGCTTGAAGAAAGTAATATTTCTCGAAGTTTTGTCACTTGCTTGGCTATCTGGTGATTTATCTAATTTGAATGGATTTATATTTTTTTAAAAGTAGTCAACTACAAAATTGAAGCTCTATTATTGTTCAGTAGATCGCAAAATTTTCAGCGTCATTCAACACAATCTATTATTTTTTATAGGTTCAAAGTTGTGCACTTTCAACAAAAAAATTTGTCAAACAAAAATTTTGGTCCGGTACATTTTGACCGGTACTATACATATTCTTGAGCTTAGATTTTTCCAAGTAGTAGTTTTTAACATATTAAGAATTGTGAAGCTGTTTGCTATTTCACAATGTTTTGAAATGGAGAAAATTGTTTCTACTCAATTAATTTTTCATTTACAGAGTCCATCTCTCCACTGTCACCTTCATCGGAACTCTTCTTGGAAACATTGTTCTTGGAATTTTGGCTGATAAATATGGCCGACGGACCATCTACTTTCTCTCTGTTCTTTTCGGAATTCCATGTCTCCTGATATCAGCTTCTGTTGAGAATGTCGTAGTATTTTACATATTTCGTACTTTGATTGGAATTGCAATATCTGGAACATTGACTGTTGGATATACGTATGCGATTGAGATGATCTCACCGGATCGCAGGTTGAGGTTGTTCGCAATGGCTAATTGGGTGAGCAGCATACTTGTAACGGGCCG